GACGAGCTCGTGCAGCCGTGCGACCAGCTGCTCCTCATATTCGCCTGTGACAGTGCCTGCCTTCTTGAACTCTTCATACATCTGTCGAACGTCATCCATGCCGAGAGGGGGCTCAGCTCCGCGCTTGATAACATCAGCTTTGTCATCAAGCTCGTGATCATCATCAGTGCCACCAGCAGGCTGAGCCAGAGACGGCTGCTGCGGCACCATGCTGACCTTGACGTGCTTGGCCAGCATCTGCTGGAGCGAGCTGAACCTTGGGTCAGCGGTGAACTGCAGGTAGAAGAGCTTGAGGTCAGGCTGGCCTTCAAGCTCGGGCATATCCACTTGCAAGAAATCGGGCGAGAGCACGGGGGCGGACGCGGGGTTGGTCGCCGCTGTGACGGGCTCGCCACGCTGCTTCGACAACGCCTCGGCACAGGTGCGCACCTCCATGGTGAGCTGGACAATCTCAGCCTCCTTCTGGACGATGGCGGCCTCTTTAGTGTCCAACTCCTCTTGTCACATAGCGATCTTCTCACGTCGGTCAGCAGCCTCGGTACGGTAGCGATCAAGCTGGGTACGGTAGCGCTCAAGCTTCTGCGTTGCAACCTTGTGCGCCGTAGACGGCGGACGTAGCTCACGTAGCTGTACTCGAAGCGCTTCCAGCTGCTTCTTGGCCGTCTGTAGCTGCTCACCTTCACTGTCTTCGTAGAGGGCGAGGGACTTGACGAACTGCTCGTAGTGACCGATCTTGTTCTGAATAGCACTCCGTTGCATCGCCGTCGCCGTCGTGTCCTTGGCCCCTGCCGAGCCTTCATCAACCTCCATGGCCGCGTCGGACACGCCAATGGGGGCTGCCTGAGGTGGGGCAGGGTCCTTGTTGTTCTCCGACTTGAGCTGCTGGACCTGCTTGCGCAGCGCCACCAACTCCTTCTCCAGCTTCGACGAGGCCCATGGCGCCAGCTGTGACGAATCAAGCCTGCCTCCGCCGTTGCCACCGCCGCGCGAAGGAGGCTGCCCCTTCGAGATGTCGGCGGCTTTGAGTTTCTTCTCCTCCTGTCTAGCCTTCGTGATGACCCGTTGCGGCGCGCGCGCGCACCACGTCGGCACTGCAGGCGACAGGCCCAGTTGTTGGCCGTGCCGCAGCGGGAGCACCCCCAATGCGGCCGCTTGGGCCCGAACAGCAGCGTTCCTGCGCCGTCGCCCGCCATCGTGACCCTGGACCCCGTCTCCAGACTCTGGTGGCAGAACTCGCGCAGCCGCACGCCGCGGCAGGGGCAGTCTCGGCACTCCAGGGGGGTGCGCTTCCCTGGAGCTGAAAACTGTCGGTTGCTGTCCTCGGATCAGAGGTCTCCACTCTGACCCCGAGGGAATCGGACATCTTGAGCCAAAATGGCTACGGAGGAGGAGGAGGAGGAGGAGGAGGAAGAGGAGGAAGAGGAGGAGAAGGCGAAGGATGAGGATGATGAGGAGGAGTGAGGAAGTGGAGGATGAGGAAATAGAGACCCCCACTGGCATTCTTGGATTTCTTGTTCGTTGGGGGGTGTTTTCTTGGTTTCCCGTTGTCTTGTCTTGGGTTTCTTGGTTTCCTGGCCTGCCCGCGGTCGCCCCGAGGACCCTAGGCCTGCCAATGCGGGCCGCGGGCAGACTACAAAACCAAGAAACCCAAGAACACCAAGAATCACACTGACAAAGACAAGAGAACACTCCCATCGACCATGAAAACCAATAAACCCACTGGTTTTTTCCCTCCTCCCCCCCTTCCTCCTCACTTATCCACGGAGATGGTCTTAGCGCGCGCTATGTACGCTGTCACCGCAACATCGAATTAGAACGTTCTGGTGGCAATGCTCTTTAAGATTTCGGCCTGTCTGGGTGATTCCCCTTGACTGACGTGCCTGTCATCCGCCTCATTGCTAGAAATAGGCGATCAAATACCTCAATCCGAACTACCTGCCCGATTCGGCAAATGTCTACGCGCCGGCACGGTAACGTCTACTGCGCTGGCACCAACGTCGGCACGGTAACGTCTACGCGCCTTCCCGGCCAAGCCCAGAGGGCATGGAGGCCGGTCGCCACGGTGCCGCATACACGGAATGTCCTCGTGCCCCTTCGAGCTCTCTGCTCTCTCTGCTAAAAAATTGTAGTTCATGCTCTCGAGAAGGCCCAAGACCCGAACTCTTGAAATTCTCGGGCCCTTCCAAGTGTTCCCCGGGGCGCCTCGCGTGAATTGCTCAGACATGATACGATGATTTAGCAATCTTGTCATCCATGGGGGGCGAACAGCCTCAGGAATTTTCTTATGCCGAGACGGCCCACGATATCGCCAAGCGGCCCCCAAAATCCCCCCGGAGGCGCCCAAGAGTCCCACAGAGGCCCCCAGGCCGCCACAAGACGCCTCCTTCCAAAAGGCCCCCGAGAATTTCCCCAAGACGCTCCAATATACCTCTATGGTCGACACCCCAGGCTCAGCGGCGGGATGGGCCGGATGTCACTAGAGAACATGATTGCCCAAACAACGGACACGCACATCGTATGTGGGACAGATTCGCATCAACGCTGTCCGAAACAAAACAGTGCGAAACCAATCGATCAGTACGATTGAAAATGTAAGTCGAGCAGTTCCCTGGAGGTGCTGGCTTGGCGAAAAGCATGGTGTGATGCTTCAATGTGGGGAGCTGCGGCGGTTCCGCATTTTTTCTGTCGTCAGGGTAAGAGTGGTGCATGAACAGGCGTACTCCCTTACGGGGCCCGCCCGCCCTACGGTGAGCAAGTTTGACAGAATCATGGCGCAATACCCTCCAAATCGGCTCCGAAATAACCACAAGACGGCCAAAAGAGAGGCGTAAGAGGGGGTACGGCAAGTCGCCCCCCCAGGGGGGGAAGGGTGGATTCCGGCCCGCCCTCCCCCCCCCACTCACTATTAACTACCTCGCGCCGGCAAACGACGACGACGACGACTAGGATGGGGGGGGGTTCGTAACCACCCTCCTTGTGATGGTGGCCGCAATGCCGCATGGCCTCTTGTCTTCTATAAAAAGAAGAAGCGGGATGGGGTTATGAGAGGGAGGATTGATGGGGGGGGGGATGGATGAGGAGGGCGAGGACGGACAGGGGAGGCAATTCGGGAAGCGTGGGGGGGGAGGCGGCACGATGCTGACAGAATCTGTCAGAGCAGCCTGGGGTGCTCGCCCTCGGCCTGCTCGCCACTCGGGCTGGTGCGTGGAGGTGTGGGCGCTGTCGCGGGCTTCCACCACAGGGAGAACACGGGCGCTCCTGCCCGCGACGCGCGGCGGAGGCCCCGCGAAGGCCGACGGACGGAGGGCACCGCCGGAGGCACTGACAGCGTGACTGGCGCGCCAACAGCAGAGCGCACCCAGAGAGGTGGCACCGACCTTTCGCCAATGCGCGCAGGGAAGGTCCGCGGGGCAGGCAGCGAAGAGGCCAGAAGCCGCCACAGTGGAGGCCAGTCCACAAGAAGCCTCCCACAAGAAACCCGACCCTGAGACCCCAGTTTCGGTGTGGGAACGTCACGCCCTCCATGGCAGAACCATCGAAGCCCAAGAAACCTAGGGCATCATGGAGGCAGGCCAGGTGCTTCTTGGCATGGGCCTCCACTGCACTCCTTAGAAGCTCCCCTCCCACGGAGCGCCAGAGAAGGCGCGCACACATAGCCCCGGCGGCCGACCCTTGAGGTCGTGGGCGGCGCGGAGTATTCTGGGGTGAGCCGCCCAGTGGCCTGGGCGCACGCTTGGAAGAGCGGCGGCTGAGGCCTTCGGCGCCGCGGTCGAAGGCCCTCCACGTGAGCTGGGAGGTCTCGGAGGGTGGGCGCGCGTCTGGTCGGTTGGTCGGCTTGGTGCAGCCGCAGCGGCAGCGACGCCAGACGGAGCGGCCGCTGAGGCAGCTGCGAGTGGGCCACGGCTGGGCGGCACGGAGATTTTCGATCAGCCTCCGCGGGAGGAGGCGCTCGTGCCCACCGTCGAGCTCTGGGGGGCTCGGCGTGGCTATTTATCCAGATGGCTGAGCCCGCTGCGGCGGGCTGGCTTGCAGGCGCCGCGGCTGGCGAGGCCCATCGGGTTGATCCTTGCCAGGGGCAACGGCGGCGAACGAGCGCGATGAGTGGCGGCGTGTCAGAGCTTCACGGTCGAGTCAAATTGTGCGGGTGCGAGCGCGCGGCGCGAAGTCCATTCCCCGCGGACGCGTGTACAAGCTGGTGCAAGCTAGGTGCTACTGCTTCGTACGTGACCATTATTCGGGAGCTGTTAGGACACAAAAAACAGCACATCCTGCATGCTCCCGATGCTGTGCGCGCCGTGGTGCTGCCCCTGGAGAGGGAAGGATGAGGAGCAACGGGAAGACGACCTGGCGACGCCCAGGAACCCTCGGTCCAGACATGCTGGGGAGCGGAACGAAGGAGGTCCGCCGTGGCCCCACCGATTTGGGGTGCGGGGTGCCCTTGGAACTGCCCTTGGCGGCATGTCCCGCTGGGGCCACGTCGCCCGCGACTCCGTGGCTGGCGGCGGCTGCGTCGTCACCTGCGGGGGGTTCTACGCGACCTCGGCGTCGGCCTCGGCGGCCGAGGGCGGCGCCGTTGCCGGGACCGCCGCCGTGAGCGCAGCGCCAGCAAGCGCAGCGGAGCGCGCAGCATGGCAGCACATTGAACCATGACGTTGGCGAGCCCTGGGTCGATCTGGACCCCGTGATTGGTTGTGAACCGGATTTGTGCGCGAGCTGCGTCTTGACTGTGGAGACCGCCTCGGCCAAGGACTCGGTCGTAGTTCGCTGGCGCTGGAGCTCCCCGTGCGTGAGCTTGTCGAGGTCGTGCGCGGGGTTCCGGCGCCGCGAGTCAGCGTCGAGCAGCGGCGCGGGAGAACCAGGACGAGGGAGCGATGGGGGAGTGGCGAGGGAGGGAGGGAGGGGGAGGATGAGGAGGGAGAGAAGGAGGAGGAGGTGGAGGGTGACTACGGACTGCGGAGACGAAGACGAGGACGACGGCGGCGGCGACGAGCCCGCCCGGCCTCGAACTCTTCGGCCGAGCCGCACCCGCCCGTCGCCGAGCGCGGCGGGTCGGTGACTGCCGCGGGCGGCGGGGCTGCGGCCTGGGGGGGGGGGGTGGGGCGGAGAGCTCTGCGGCGGTCCTCGCGGCACCCCTCACGTGGCGCCCTCTCGGCCCCCCCCCCCCCTCTCTGCCCCCCTCTCTCTGTCCTTCTCTCTGCCTCTGTCTCCGTTTCTCTCTCTCTCGCTCTTCCTCCGTCTGTCCTCTCTCTCTCTCTCTTTTTCTTTCTCCCTCTGTCGCTCTCCGATTTGCTTCACCTGCGCCTGCCACTCGCCCACCTCCCTCTCCTTCCGCGTCCTCATCGTCGCTGTCCGCCTCGAGGCCCACAAAGACACCAAGATTGCCCAAAATGCCCCCCCGAGGGCCCCAAGACGGCCCCCAAACGCCTCAAGATGGCCCAGCAAAGGCACCCACGACGGTCTCCGAAGGTGTCAGAGGGGCCAGTCGCGTCCCTAAGACGGCCCAAGAGGCCCCAGGAGGCCCCCCAAGAGGTCCCAAGAGGCTCTCAACAGGGCGCCCAGGAGGCCCCCAAGACCCACCAGAAAGCCCTAACAAGGCCCCAAGAAAATTCCCCCTCCTCGTCCTCGGTGTCTCCTTCCCCTCCTCCCCCTCCTCCTTACCGCGCGGACGAAGGCGATGTCGGGATCACGGCCCTCCTCAATGTAAACCACTCGCCGAACTGCCACGGGGTATTTACTCGACCTCCCCTACCGCGCGGACGGAGACGAGGTCAAGTTCATGACTCGTTCTTAACAGACCGCTCGTCGGAATGACGCTGTTCCTCCGCTCGGCCTCCTTCCTGCAGCGCTGTTACACAGGCGCGATGGCGGGGCTTGCCGCACGCGGCTGGACAGATTGCGCCACATCGTTTCCACTACATGTATCATGTGTTCCAGAAAAAATCGGATTTGCACACCGTGATTTGATCGATCCTTCTTGGGATAATACGGTTGCCATACGATTGAAAACCCGTCGTTTGTTCTAGATACGAAACAATACCATCCCAGGAAGTGCCGTTGTCGACCCCCCTGCTCATCTCTGTCACATGATCACAATGGCGCGAGCATTTGTCAAACATCTACAATTGTCATACATTGGTTTGTCAAGAAGCGGGTCCTAGTCGACGCGCGCCCATCGTCGCGCGCGCATGCCGTGGGTTGCGCATGGGCTTCCAAACCGATTTCCCCGAACACATACAAAAAACCATGGGTTCTGTAAGACGGGTTGTAAAACATCAGAGCGTGCGCCCCCTTGCGAGTTCGTACGAGTGCCTTCGGTTCGCCAATCGTTTCGTCAAGTGCGATCCGGCGGGCTTCCCGCGCGCGCACTCCTCAATCATTCGGCCGCCCTTGTGGGCTTGCTGGGGGTGCGGGCCACTCGCGCGCGTCGGCCGCGCGCGCATGTAGACATTTTCCCAATACCTTCATCACCGACTCGTGGACACCATCATCGTGAACGGCGTGATCAGCATCGGCGCCGTCACTGGCCTTGCCGTCGTTATCGTCATCATCGTCACTTTCACCGCGATTATCCTGCTCGCGTCTGCCGTTGTTGTCGACGGCCCCAGGATACTATTACCGCGCCCGCCCGAACCACCGACTCACACTGAAGTGCCGCGCGTCAGCGCAGCCTGCGAGACGCGCTGGGAAGTCCCAAGCGGGCAGCGCCACCGCGGCCGCGTCGGTGGCGCGAGACTGGCTGGCCACTCTTCGCGCGAGAGTATGCGCGCTAGCGCGGCCGCAGCGATGCACCAGCCAGCACCAAGCAGTCATCTTGATCGCCGCCGCATTGAATTTGCAAACCAACTTGCGGGTGGATGGGTGGGATGATTGCGCGGGCAGTGGGTTGACAACTACTTGATGAACACTACTTCATTGCATCAGAGAATTTAGACCAAGTGTCTTGCACCAAGCTGATTGCCCCCCAAAACCCTACACCATCTACATGGCACCACGAACGTCGCACCACATAATTTACAACACGTTGATTGCACCACGCAGCATGCACCACCTAGGTTGCTTGACATGTGTTGCGCTGCATAGCTCACACCACATGTAAACACACCATGAATTGCCCCTCGTAGAAAGCTTGACATATATTGCGCTACATTTTGTGCTAGAACACACTGCGTGGGGATCAAGCTGGTTCGCATGCGCTTGCGTATTCCCGGTCAGCTAAAATGCAAGGCCGCTGCGGACAATCGCTTGAATGGCACGCACATCGGGCGCGGGTCTTCCAAGGGGACGCGGTAATGTTTCCAAGAGACAGACTTGCTTGGGCTTGCGAGGAGGGGGCATCTTTGATGCGTCCTTGATGCATCAAAGAGGACAGGCTTGTATGGGACGGGAGGGTGTGTTGAAACATCTTTGATGCATCCTGGGCTAACTCTGGTCCCTCCTCCTCTTCCGCCTCCGCGTCCCTCCTCCTTGCACAGGCACGGCGCCACATGTCCTCGACCCCGCCGCTGGCCACGCCGAAGCTTGGACTGCACGGTCGGCACCATGCGTTCAACATCTTGGAAAGTTGACCGGGGGGCCGCGGGCGTGCAAAGCATCCTAGCGCGAGTGTGGCAACTATGGGGACGTCGATGGAGGAGCGCGACGGCCGCATCTCCCTCGTCCTTCTCCCCCTCTACCCCCCTGCTCCTCGCCCAGGCATGCCTGTGGCCCGGCCCCCATCGCCCCCATGGTTCGCTGATAGAGCTCGGAGACGCGCTTCTTCTCCTCCGAGGCAGGAGGGACGGGGGGTAGAAGACGGAGGCGCAAGAGAAGAAGGAGGAGAACGGAAGCAGGATGTCCAGGGATAAGCTGAGGAGTCGCAGAGATGCGGCTGAAGGATCTGGATGACTAAATCTACAAAGGAGCGTCTACAGAAGGGGGGTTAGAGGAGGGAAATACCCCTGCGGAAAGCAAGTGGATGAAGAAGATCATCCCGATGGACGGGAGCGGCACGAAAACACCCCGATGGAGGGAGTAGACAATCTCGATGCCCGCTGCCCTCCCCCCTCCTCCCTCCTCCAGAGGCCTCTGGAGGAGCCCAGCAATTCCTGGAGGCCCCTGGAGGTCTCCTGAGGCGTCTGGAGGCCCAAAGACGTCCAAACGCTTGATATAGCGGCCGACAGTTGCGACATCATTTGCCATCCCGAAGGTGGCACGCGGATTGGTATGTGTTCTGCTGCAGCATAGATCGTGGATGGGCGCGAGGAGAGGGATGGTGTTTCTATGACAACTGTTCTCGCCATGGGTGGGATCTACTTGGGTAGTCCTTTTTCGTCTTTCGTTGAGGAGGCTATTGCTTTGGAGGATGTTCGTCATGTGCCAGAAGACTGGTTGAGTTAGATCCTCGCACCAAGCGCAGGAGATTTGATATATGATTTGTGTTAACCGCATTCATCTGCCAGCGCCAGAGGCGCTTTGGGCTTTGCCGAAAGAAAGCAAGATGTCCAATGTCTTCGATCCTCCTACGCCTCCACCTCCTCCTCACCCTCGTCTCTCTCTCTCTCTCTCCTCCCAGTCGGTCCTCCTCCTTTAATGCCCCCGTCTACTGGACCCCACCAGCACACCAGCAGACGCAAGCCAATAGGGCGGCGGCCCTGCGTCCTCCCATCGGTTGGCACCACTGATCAGGTGCCCTGCATGGCACGTGTGAGCAATCGCCTCACGCTCCTCCACATCCTTCTCCTCCTCCCAGCTCCCCCTCTCTGTCGCCTCCTCCCACTTCTCGCATGTGAGTCCCTCGAGCCACACACACCAATAACCTCATCGTGCTGTTTATTTCTCATCGGACCCTTGCAGAATCCCCTCAACCCCTGCGCATCATCCCCATGGTCCTCCTGGTCCCCCTCTGGATTACCTCCACCTTCCTCCTCTCGACGCGCAACGCCCGCTGGCCCGTTTCTCCCATCCAATCCCATGTCGCAACAACCGACGGAGAATGCACAAGCAGAAATCCTCTTGACACTTCAGAACTTCATTCACGAACGCTAATCCCCGCTCCCCCACCGTCGTGCAAAATGACACTGGGAAAAAACTGAAAGCTGGACTACTCGCCCTCATCATCATGCAGAATTTCTCCGACTGGATCAATCGCGAGATGTGGATGGGGTGGGGTTCGAGACCCAGAAAATGCGAACACGCCCGTCGTTACTTTTCACAGAAAGCCTGTGCGAGGTCCTCCTCCTCTCCGGACCCCCGACGTTGTGATGTTATACGACATGGACTTCTGGCGGTCTGGACCTCTTCATCAAGACAATCTTCTGACTCAGACACTTTTTGACGTAGTTTGAATACAGAACTCTCGTCCTGGTGTTTTGGCAGCCACCAAGGTATGGGCCCCCCTCCTCCTCCTCCGCCGCCGCTGCCGCCCTTCTTAGACGAGTCATGGAGTCAAAGGCCTGCTGGCGGCGCGCACGAGGGGGTGGCGCGAGGGGGCCTGGCTTCTGTGAAGGCGGGGGGATTCTTGGAAGGCACGGGGCCTTCTTTTGGACAAGCGCATTCCACAACTCGTAGGGTAGCTACTCGGAAATGGCCTGGATCCGCCGCGGGGGATCCACGATCCAGCACGTTGAGGCAACTATGTGTTGTTTTCTGGCGTTTGCGAGTGGGCACTTCGCGAGTCGTGGAACGCGCCCGGTGATTCTTGGAAGACCCAGAGGCTGAGAAGGCACCCTCTCAGGAGCCTCCGGGGTCTGCCGAGAAGACCCCCCCCTCTGAAGTCCTCTCAGAAGCCCTGCCGCCCCCTTGGAAGCCTGTCCCCCTCGCGCGCGCGCCGCCGAGCCTGAGATGTGCGCTCCTCCTCCTCCTCCTCCTCCTCCTCCTCCTCCTCCTCCTGCTCGTCTGGCGAGCACGGCTCTCCTTCTCCAGCCGGTCGCGCTCTTCCAACAGCCTCGCGTTGGCGCACATGACGCGCTCCAAGGCCGACCTTGCGGGGCTGCTGCCCCGTTCGGTGGCCTCCCGCTGCGCCCCTCCTCCTCGAATGGAGCGGAAAAGAGGGAGGACGACGAGGTTTGGACTTCAAAGGAAGGCTTTGGCTGCAACTTCTCTTTGGTCTTGTGCCCGTGCCATGTGCGATGGGGTGCTGGCGGAACTACCATCGATACACACGGAAACATAAATACGGTAGTCTGAAAAAAGATTCCGCGAGTGCCCGCTCGGCGAACACGCGCGCCCACCACATCGGATCCTCGCTAGATAACGGGGCCTGGTGGCGCCACTTCAACATCATGGACAACAAAAAGCTTTCGCGTAGAATTCTCCTCCCAAGCAACAACTAAGATTACGATCTGTTTGCAAAAAATGAGACACATATCCTGTGCGTGCCCGCGCGAAGATGGCGCGCGCCCTGCGCAGAATCCTTGACACGTGGTAATTCGGGTACGGATGTCTCAGGAGGCCATGGGAGCGCGCACCCAACGCAATTTACAAAGGATCGTGACCCTGTGCGCGCGGAGCCGCTGTATCTTACAAGGGATCGTCGTGGCCAAAACCAGCCAATCATACATATATTTAATAATATTTACACATATATACACATACATACATATATACATACATATATATATATATACATGTATATATATACATGCGCATTGACATATCTACATATATACATATATATTTATATATATATATATGTATAGGTATCGTGGGGCTGGGAGTGCCAATCCAGCGCAATGTCCAAGGGATCGTGGCTCTGGGAGCACGGGTCCAAACTAATTTGCGAGCAGTGGCCCTGGGAACACAATTTCAATGCAGTTTACATGGGTCGCGCGGACACGGCGTAACTTACAAGTGATCGTGGCGCTGGGAGTGCGGATCCAGTGTCGCTGAGAGCGCGCACCCAGTGTAGGTTACAAAGGATCTTGGCACTGGGAGCACGGAGCTGATGGTTTTGTGAGGGATCCCAGGGGGAAAGAATCCTGGGACCCCTCTCATGGGATGCCGATAGAAGGGGTTTTTGGTGAGCGGAGGGGGACTTACAGAGCATTGTGGGTCGTCCCCTGGCTCGCTCCCTGGCGCGTTTTCTAATTAGTATCTCCCTTGGCGCGTTGCTTGGCACATCTGCGGCGTGTCCCATTTCATGTCCGCTGGCACGTCCCCTGGCGCGTCCCCTGGCGTGTCCACTGCAGCGTCCCAAGGCAAGCACCCTGACGCGTCCCGTGGCACGTCCCCTGGGGCGCTGCGCGGTACGTCCCGAGTCGCGTCCCAGATCACGTCTTTTGGCGCGTTCCATGACGCGCCTTCTGGCGCGTCCGGTGGCACGTCTCATGGCGCGTCCACTGGCATATGCCTGCCACGTCGCGCGGCGCGTCCCCTGACCTGCCCCCTAGCGCGACCCCTGGCTTGTCTCCTGGCGCGTCCCTTGACACGTTCCGTGGCGCATCCTTGGCGCGACCTTTGGTAAGTTCCATGGCGTGTGTCCTGGCGTTTCCCTTGGCACGTCCACTGCTTAAACTGCTTAGCGCGGCCCGCGTCAAGTCCCCTGGCAAGTCCCCGGCACGTCCCCTGGCTCGTGCGCTGGCTTGCCCTCTGGTGTTCCTACACGTTCCGTGGCGCGTCTTCTGGCGCGTCCACTGGCAAGTCCCCTGGCTGGTCCACCGGCATGTTCTCTGGTTCGTCCCCTGGCCCGCCTCCTGACACGGCCCTTGGCACGTTCCATGGCGCGTCCCTGACGCGTCCATGCTCCGTCCCCTGACACAACCCATGGCACGTCCCCTGGCGTTTTCCCTGGGGGCATCCCCTCAGGCAGCTCGAGCTGAATGACCAGACCATTTCGATCAAGTGCGGGGCAGAGCCTCCGACAAATACTCGGCATACAGCACTCCGCGGTGTCGAAGAGCCACACTCACCTCTCAAACTTGCGATGCTCAGCGCAAGAACCGTGGAGCCCGCCGGCCTGCGTGCACGGAGGCGGAGGGGCCGACTCCGCCCGAGGTGGGGCGCAGTTGACAGAGCGCGCGCCCTCGGAGCGATCAGAAGCCTCCCCCCTTCCCGTCCTCGTCGCCCTCCTTTTCCACCTCCGCCTCCTCTCCCTGCCTCCGCCCGGGGCCATGTGAGGACCGCTGGGAGCCCAGAAACAACGAAAAGACGCGGGGGCCCGTCTCCCTCGAGGGACTCCTTCCCTCCCTCGTGGCAATCCCCCCCCTCGGCTCAAGCGTCGATCTCCACTTTGGACGCCCGAAGTGGGCACGGAAAGAATGGGTACAATGCACAACAACAAATGTTGTCCCAAATCAACAGCGGCCGCTGTTGGGCAGACGGCCTTCTGTCTCGAATGGACACAGGCCGCGGCGGCGCGGACAGCGAATCCTGCTCAGAATGAACAGGAACTGCTGTTGGGCATTGTACGCATCCTTTCCGCACCCATTTCGGGCGTCCAGATCCAGACCTCTCCGGGGGTGCGCCCTGGCCGGGACTTCGAGGCGGGTCCGGCCACGGCAGCCGGGCCCCGCCCCCACAGTACGGCGCTAGCGAAAGCGCGGCCTGCTTTAAGGCCGCGGGACGTGCCAGCCGCGAAGCGGTTGAAGCGGGCCCTCAGGAGAAGATGACGATGATGGCGGCAGCGGTGCAGCCCCCCCCATTTTGCTGCTGCGCTGGCCGCGCGCTCCTCCCGCCGGCGTTGACACGCCGGGCGGGCCCCTCCTTCCGCCGCGCGAAGCGGGCCTCGCCGCCGGTGCCGTTGGACACCGAGGCAAAGCCCAGGGTGGGTGGGCAAAAGAGGGCCCCTTTGGGCCCTGGGAGGGCTTTGAGCCCCGAAGGCTTGAGCGGGAGAGAGGGAGAAAGAAGGGCACGCAGAGGCAGGGGCAGGGAGAGGAGAAACCCAAGCCGACCGGGGAGGGCGGGGTCCAACCGTTTAGGACAAACAACTAAGACCCCGCCCCCACAGTACGGCGCTAGCGAAAGCGCGGCCTGCTTTAAGGCCGCGGGACGTGCCAGCCGCGAAGCGGTTGAAGCGGGCCCTCAGGAGAAGATGACGCTGATGGCGGCAGCGGTGCAGCCCCCCCCATTTTGCTGCTGCGCTGGCCGCGCGCTCCCCCCGCCGGCGTTGACACGCCGGGCGGGTCCCTCCTTCCGCCACGCGAAGCGGGCCTCGCCGCCTTTGTTCTATAATACTGGTGCTGCTGCCAGTGCCCCTGCACACTGGCCGCCTGGCGGATTCTACGCGCCGGCGTGCTGTGTGGGCGCCCTGATGGGCGTCGCCAAAACTGGGTGCCAGGCGCTGTGTTGCCGGCACCGTCTAGGCATTGAGTCACGCATCGCCTGGCGTGTGCGCCGGCGTGCGTGTGGGGCCCGACTGGCCCTCCTGTCTGCCGACTGCCGCCAGGCAACTGATGCCGGCGTGCGCGGCTGTCCTCCGTGAGGCTAGGCCTTGGGCTCGCGCCGGTGCCTTGATTGCCAGCGGAGCCCGACCTCGGGCTGAGGCCCGAGGGTGTCGTCGCTGGCGCTCGGCACGGGCCAGTACTTGGCGCCCCCGTCCGCGCCGCGGCCTCCAGATCTCCCGGCTCCCCGCCTCCACAGGTGCCCAAGGTGCACGGGGCGGGCAGGGTCCGGCCCCTGACAGAGGGGGTTCCCCGGGCCGGCGCTGGGGCGCGGGCCCGTGCCCGCGCATGAATTCAAGCGCTGCGGCCGCACTGGGCCGTCAGATTGCCAGCTACTGTATCACAGCTGGCGTCAGTATGCCCGGCGCGACCAGGCTTGGTATGGAGAGCCGGCGTGCCAGGCGGGTTCCAGCGCGGTACTCGCCCAGAGCTGCAAGGGGACCCACAGTATCCCAGCACTAGTGGGGCCCTGACGGACGAGCCTATGCGCATGCTTCTGCTGTGAGGTATTAGCCAGTGCTGAAGGCACGGGCGGGTGTACTCTGCGAGCGCGCGGCCACTCGCCGGCGGGGCAGGTGGCTGGTGGCTGCGCCCAAGCACGCACGGCGGAAGCCGGCGGCTTGGGTTGGGCGCGCGCCAGGTGCGCAAGCACCGGCGGCGCCCGCTGCGGCCCCTCATGGGCTCTCACGCCTGGCGCTCTCGGCGCCGGCGGCAGCTCTGCTGGGGGCGCTGTCCTTCGCCGGGTTGGTCAACGAGGAGGTGTCCCTGGCCATCTTGCCGGAGATGCCCTTCATCGGCTCGTGCGACTCCCACAGGTAGCCGTGGAGCGCGTCCGACTGCCAGCGCACGAATCGGCGCACTCGGGAGAGGTCCTCGGTCACGTGGTACATTGCAGTCGCCCCGCCGATCCTCAGGGAATGGCTGCCGATCTCCTCTCTGGAGAGGCCGGCGGCCAGCCCCGCGACCGTCGGGAAGTGCTGCACCTCTGCCCTGCGGATCGGTGTACCTGACGCCCAGCGGAAATGGGCAGCCGTTCCTCGGTGCCCTTTATCCGCTGAGGATGGTGAGCCTGGAGCCGCTCCATCGCCGCGATCGGGCAGAGCGACGTGCCGGCGCGGTAGTGGTTCCTCACCGTCCCGACATTGAGCTGGTCCGTCTTGCTGCCCTTGATGTAGATCACCATCTCGTCGGCGTCCTGGAAGCTGGCCACTCGCTTCCACTCCTTCTTGGGCTCCACGTCCTCCCCGTGCAGCACGCGCTCGAAGGGCCACGAGCGCCCGTCCTGGAGGAGGTACTCTGAGGCCCTCAGGAGGAAGAAAAACGCTGTCACGATTGCCGCCCAGATGACCACTGCATCCTCCTCGGGGAGCTTGGCCTCCTGCTGGAGAAAGCCGCGGAGCCATTCGAGCAGGGCTGGCGTGACGGGCTTCTTCCGCTTGGTCTCGGGCCCCTGCCAGCGTTTCAGCCCTGCCAGTGTGCTCCAGAGGCGGCCTCTGTGGAGCAGGGGGTCCGAGTAGCCGGCCACCAGGTGGGCGTAGCGCACCGCGAAGAGCTTCTGCTTGATGGTCCCCTCGGTCCCCCCGACGACCCGCGCGAGGAGGAC